TGGAACGGTCGTAGCATTGGCACATTCCTGGAGGTAATCGCCGAGGTCATGCATTACTTCACTGTACCACTTCCAGATGCGGACACCATTCCATGAACCTAAAGAACTGCAAGAGAAAAGTGTTAGAGACACAATGCACATAAGTGTAGCCTTCTTTATGTGTTTCATGGTAGCACAGTTGTTTAAATACTCGCCAGCCATCGTCGCAGATGGAGAGGCCGGGAGTTGAACTCCAGTCAACAGAACTTTGTTTTTTTCTTTTCTATGTGATCAAGTTCATTTCATTGATGTACTTCCATGATAGAAATACACTATGAAAATTATAGTGGACCCTGGCATGAAGCACTTGCGTGTTAACAATTTGGGAGTGCTTCCCCTACCGAGAAAATGGGAGCAAGCAACTTGGTGTGGGCATGCCTGACCTAATGCTCTGTTTCTTTCCTTCTTTCTTTATTTCACACATTACGATTCTCTCTCCTAATGTATGCATTCACTTTTATTGCAGGTAGCAGCTGCCTGGGCAAGGCGGTCTTTAGGTTATATCAGCAGGACATCAGTCATGTCTTTTCCAGTGCTCCTAAGCCTCCAGAATGGCCCAACGAAAGGGCCATCACACAATCATCGAAAGTCGGGTTAAACTTCCTTGAAGTCAGAATTTTTTTTTAGAAATTCAATTCCTGATGTCAACCTTACACTTGTCCAGAGGATAACCCAGTCCACAGACATGAAATATTTAATCATAATAGGTGTACTGCTTTTCAATTGTTTTTTTTTTTGCATTGTGGGTAGAACAAATTCCTATGCTTAAGTTGGCATCACATTAGGCGAAGATGGGCTAGCGATCGACTAGTCGAGGCACCAGTTTTTGGAACTGGGTGGACTCGGGTTCATACGTCAGTCCCGCAAGTAAAGTGTTTTATTCATTATTTTTTTAGCGCCGAACGGCAGTGGGTGATAAGGATTTTATGGAATGCTATCACCAGCCAGCTTCAACAGTCAGTCAATATAAGCTCTGCATGAATAATTTATGGGGTTTCACGTAGAGAACCCCACTACGAATATGAAGGAAAGTGTATATTCAAGAGTGTGTTTTCTTTGTTAGATACAATGTTAATGAGAACTAACGGACAATAATGCCCATTAAAGTATAGGGTAGCAAGCTATCTATTTGTTCATCTTCTTTTTTCACCTTTGCATTACAATTACTTGTATTACATCCCCTATACTTTACCTGACGTAACATCTGTTAGTTCTCAATAATATTGTGACTACGATTGTAAGGCACACAGTGGTGAAGGGCTTTATAAAACTTTGACCAACTGGAGTGTTTTGATGTGCACTTATGATTATATGTGGTTTTCAATATGCAGGGTTGTGGCCAAAGAGTTTCATGACTGATCATTTGGAGTCAACAGCACCATAGAGTTTCCTAAATATACACTAGAGGTAACTCTGGTGCGAGTGTCTATGAGAGCTGCAAGAACGGCGCTATAGCGAGCATATGAATGCTGGGTAGTACGCCGATTTGTCTAATCTTCGTACTGCTGGCTCCTATTGTGTGTTTGTGTGACTTGGAACTGTTTTCTCACGAAACAAAAACAAGCAACTGCTCAGCGGTTGCGCTTCACCACCTTATACTTTTATGCTTACTATTTCACATCTGGTCATGAATTTCAATAGGGTTCGTTCTTTCCTTCCAAACGAAACCGAAACACAGCAACAAACAAAGCCACAAGTGTGATTTGGCGCCCGCAAGTACGAAGACTAGGCAAATCCGGGAACTACCCATCATTCCCAAGGACGCCGAACGATCACAGCGCGAGAGTCCCCTCTAGGTAATTTTAAAAAACTCTATGAACAGCACTCAATAAATTATTCAGTGCATCTAAACCTTTGTACAGAGGCATATAGCATTTTGTATTTTTTTAAATGCCACCACTAAAGCAGAGATCGAGCCCGAGTCTTTCAGGTCAGCAGCCGGGTATTGCAGGAGAATCAAAGAAAACAAGCATCTCGCTGTGTGGAAATAAAGCAAAAATGGGACTTAGTAGAGGTAACACACAACACATTCAGTTTACTCACTCCCTTTCTTTTTGCGCTGTTTTCATACAATATCATGTACCAACTGACCCTTCAAGAAATCCTTTGGCAAACATCTCGCATTCGAAATTTGGGCATCAGTGGTCATTTAAAGGGACCCAGAAACAGTTTTGATGATTTTGTACAAACACATTGGGCAGTATACCAAGTCCTAAGGCTCATTTACAGACTGATTTAAGCTCTACACGTAAACTGTAATTTCTTACAACGCTTTAAAGCTGTGAATCGCTGCAAAACGCTATGGCTAAGTCAAACACGTTTTCAACTGCTCAATCACAATACGGCGTCCACTGGAAGCGTGACGTCACCCAGACTGCTGATCTCAAGGGGTGTGGAATGTGCGTAAGTAAGATCGGCTGGTAGGGTGACGGCACCTGTTGGAGCAGATATCAACTACTCTGTGATCTTCGTTTCTGTTGCCAGACGACGTGCTTGGTGTAGGGCGCAATGGGCTTAAGGTATACAAGATGGCACAACCTGATAGCATGGGACCTCGGAGCTTTTGTCATAAAATGTCCCTAACCGAAATTCTTTATTCGGCACGTTGACATAAATTCTTAAATAAAGCTAAGATTCCAAACTCAAAGCATAATTAGGCACATGTGTTGCCTACAGAAAGCTAGGCATGCAATACTGCACGAAAGCACTTCATATACTGCAGTAAAAGCTTAATAATTCGACTCTCACTCATTCGAAAAAGTGGATAATTCAAAATATTTTCTGGTCCTGGCAAAAATATTCATTGTTTAATGACACTAAACTCTTGCTCGTTCATTTATGTTTGGCCACACTCTGGTTTTTTAGGATGAACCTCGATGAAAACTGAGCAAATGAGCATCGAAACTTAAACATGATGAAAACTTTTGAAGATGACTAGCTTCCAGCCGCAGCCCACAAGCTGGCATATTTGCTTGCTGTATTGTGATGACCAAACAATTAGTTGCCGGCCATCTTACTGCTGAAAAAAATACTTTTACATAGCCATGGTGGTGGTGGTACGTAATTTGGGAAGGGTGCAGAGCATATTTTGGCCTACGGAAGACAGAGTTTTACACCATGGTCACCTTGTGAATGAAGTTACTAGGTGATGGACATTGCGGCTTTTATATTGCTCTTGTCCGAAACATGAATAAAACTTGCATGTTCATGTGGAAACCATTGCATTTATCCGTGTCATCACCGTGTATGCGTGTTGATGATTTTGCCCTCTTTATTTAATATTTGCTTTTTAGATAATGTGCAATTAAGAGATGTTTATTCTCACTGCTTTGTAAAACACTCTAGCATGCATTGCAGCATACCAAATTTTGTGCAATAAAATCCTCTTTCCAAAGAATATATGTTGGTGAGCGACAAAAATGTTTTGGAATGACTAAATATGTGGAAAGTGTGCAATGTTTGGTTGCCAGCAAATAAACAATGCTATAAAAAACACTATATGTGCAAACATATTCAAAATAAATGAAATTCAGAATGTACATTTTGAAGAAAAATGGCTCAAGCAAAGAATAAAAAATAATAAATGTTTCCACACTAACAAAGAAAATCAGAACCAAGGTGCTGCTTCGTTGCTCAAGCCATGCAGTGAAGCACTGCATGGTTTTTCATGAGACACAAGTTAACTTGTACACATTTCTCAGTAAATTCTTGTTTTCTTGGAATAAGAGCCTCCAGGTGTTCCAATATAGATGGACGCCCGTGATGTGAATATATCCCTCATAAATCAGATGTCTAACGAACTTTGCTCTTTCATCTAGCATCACCTCTTTCCATGAGCAACATTACTCCACTGAGGTTGGAATTCCTACACATGCATGAAAACATGTTTGTAAGCATTTTGCACATCGTATTACAAAAAGAACAATACAGCGTGCAGTTCTAAAACGTTTCCCGCTGCTCCGCAGTTAGAATCAAAATGTGCTTTGGGAACCTTCTTGTCGTTGGGAGAAGCTCTGCAGCCAGCACAAAGCACACCGCGCCCCAGCGAAGCGTGGTCCTCATACGTAACCAGAGTAGCTATGAGATTGTGCACAAAGGTCAGCAGTTACAAATTTGCGGCGGAGGCGACAACTTGAGGCAGTGAACACAACAAACTTATGAACGGCTGTGCATGGATCTCTCGGGCTGACGCAAAACATCATCTCCATAAAATTTGAAGCTGAGATGCTGTCATCATCGAACTCTAAGCTCGTCCTCACTCAATTCAGGTGGGGTTGCAAGACAGTTTTGAGTGGCGCATGTGTTTTGCAGCGCTGGCCATAAGGGCGACTAGTGACACTATATGCAACTCTGTGTCTGATCTAACAATACAAGCAGAACCAAACTTAGGTGCTGGAAACTGGCTGAGAAGGCCATCTAGACGCTTTAAATGTGCTGTCAACCATCGGCAATATTTTTTGTAGAATAAATTTTTTCTGAGGCCTAGCAACAGCTGTCTATTGAATAGCTGGCATGAATTTCTGTGAATTATCATTACTAAACACTATGAAATTGCAAAGCTGACACTTAAATTCGATATGTGGCTTGCAAAAGTTCCTTTTATTACATAACTTCGATGTTACCGCAGTATAATCCCAAGGGGCACGCACTTTTGCCAAGTTCACCAGCCTAATGAAGTTTTACAATAATACACGCACATTGGTTCGCTCAAAGGTCTGTCAAAAATCACCATGTTACACAAATGGGCAAATTCAAATTGATTCCGACAGTTGAGATGGCTGGACTAACTACTAGCAAGAGTTGGGTGCACGAGAAACAAATTTAACATGCTAAAATTGATTATTCCAAGCATCGATCATCGGTGATCGGTTTGAATAGACGTGGTAACGAAAAAGTTGAGCTCATGTGGGGCTTGCCTTAACATTATTTTGCCAGAAGACACTGGAGTGAGTGAATGCCACTTTGTTTCATGAATAGGAACATATTTCTTTACTCATACGTCACCTACAGCACACCGCACGTGTCGACATCAGTTGACTCGTGTGTCACTGCGCACCACTGGTCCTTCAAAGAACTGACCAGATTTATTGCCCTGAAACCATATGAAAAATTGCAAGTATGCATGCCAGGGCATAGTAAAGTGACACAACAGCAATTTCTGACTGCAACACACAAATTGACGAGAATAACAGCAATAAAACAGTTTGAAAACTGGCAATTGACTTGTGCCTCATCCTCTGTAAGACATTAGAGATCAACCAGCCTCCTGAATCAGCAAAAGGCAGTCTTATCCACAAAACGCCCTTTGAAGACTCCTTGAGATTCTGAGGGTACAACTTAAGACATTCCCGTACAAAGTACTGTTATCAAACAATGAGTGAGATTTGACACAACATTTCCAACTGGATAAGCAAAGGACGCAATCTCCGGTTTGATGCCAATTAAAATGAAAATGAGCAGCATTATTTACAATGAGCTGTGCTTGGCATTTCAGCTGTTTTAAATAGAATAAATCCCTTGCACCCTTGCTTTCAGCACTAAGACACACACTCAATAAAGAGCAGAAAAGGATGCAAAGGCTAGCAAGACTCAACAAGTTTTTATACCCTGCACATGGGCGGGGAATGGGGGGTAAAAAAAAAGAGGCACCCCGAATGCAGACTACATTCGCTAACATAGATGTGCCTTTGAAAGAGCAAGGCCTTTCATAGTGTTAGGTATGAGTGATGCAAAAAGACACTGAAATGAAACATCCCTACTGTTGACATGGTTTTTGCATCATATCTAGGTTCACATGTGCACTGCAAAATATTTAGAAGAGACAGCAGACTAAGCCAGCAACAACCTAATAACCTGCAACCTCGCCCAGGACAGCCAAAACAACCAACATTTGCCACTGCTAATTGAGTCAATTATAAGAGCGACAGCTACTCTTCATACATGCTGTTGCTATTAAGTGTACTTTGTATCTCGTCAGCTTATCAGGTCGCTTACTTAGGGCTCAGCAGTTATCTGTACTTATGCAACTTGTATGTTTACTGCGACAGAGAGACCTCACTGCTGCCCCAGCACCACTGTAAGCAGGTAGGCACACACACACAAGAGCAACACAAGTGGTCCCAATGGCAGACCCATGCCCTGAACAAAGTCCTTGTTTTCGAAGTGGTCTTGTCCTACCTACAAAGAAGCACTTTCTCCATGCTGCCGGAGGAATCTTATCTCTAGAGGCCGAGCGGGAAAAACGAACACCTCAGAGCGACTGCACGAAATCCCTGCGAGCTCACGCCAAAAGCTTTGATGCTCGTGCAGAGATAAGAGATCTTGCTGGACCATGATAAACACGCTCTTTCTGCAGTCGGCAACAGTGGCATGGAAAGTTTGCACCTTGAGCTGAGAGCCAGAAGGAAAACAAACTTGTGCTGCAGGGCCATTTCTTTTATGCATGATGCAACTGTAGTTCTTTAGTGAAAGAATGCTGTGCCTCAGAAGAGAAGCTAATAAAAATGAATGCTTTGTCCAGCTGATGTAAAATATGCTACTAGTTTGTTACCTTGCAAAAACGACTTGAAAATTCCTCGGCTATTCTACAAATCTCACGAAAGCTATATGTTTATGCATCACGCCTATACGCTAAAGGTGCTCTGTCGGATGCAGTATAAAAAACTGCAATGTCTGTTTCTGATGCAGAGTTGTGGATTTAAGCTAAGGGCTTCATTTGTTTTATGCCTCCCGATTGCTGACAAGATTTTCACAAAATTTTAGCTCCTTAATCAAGATTCTTTGATAAGTTTCTAGAATTTAACTCTTGCCCTCAGTAGCCTCTTATTTCATTTAGACCAGTCCACTGATTGTCTAGTGAAAGTAGTTTTGTGTTTTGAATAACCAGCAGTAACCAGCAATTATGAGTAACCCAGCAGCTACAGCCTTTCTGGATTGCCCAGTAGCCAAAGCCTTTCTCATCTTGCAACAGTGCCTTATTGGCAGAGAAAGAGCGCTTGCACTGCCAGTTGATAGTTGGGTAACTAAAGGAATTGACAACGAACGCAGTCATTAGCCTGAAAAAATAAGCCCCCTTGTCGAAACGCTCAGCACAGCAGCAACACTTGTGGTCAAAGTGTAGGAGGCACGGTTGTGTTTAAGGCTGAAAAGCACAGCTGTTTGTAGGGTGGATGCGTAAAAAAAGTTGTCCCACTCACTTGCAGAAGCTTCAGCAACCTTTTCGTGAATTTAAGTCACAACTTCTTATGCCTGCCTACTGACATGGCTTCTGGGCCTTGATGCTGATATCCTGTTTACAAGAGGGTACCTGCTTCAAAATACAGTCCTCTATGCTAAATCAAGACCATCCACCACTCTTCAATATGTTAGTTAAGAACCTAATGGCAGCCCTCAAATCTGAATGACCAGCTTAGAAAGTACTGACACAAAATTTTGAAGGTGAGATAACTTGTGGGACAGATTGGAGTGCACACAGGAATCATCTACAAAATAACAACAGGTAATATAGCCTAGAACATATTTAGCTAAATTTCAAAGGATATGTGGTAACACAACTGCGCACTCTAACAACCCATCTTACAACATTAAAACTGACTTGTTTTCAGTGTAGAAGACCAACTACTACCTGAATTGCGAGTTTGTGTAGGTTGACGTACTCCTTGCCAACCCTCCATTTATGAATGCCTTTTTAACGAAAATAGGGAGCCCCGCCTTTATGTACTTGCTTCTGCAGTGCATTTGTGTAGGGTCATGCATACACTAAAATGCTGATATAATGAAGTAACTGAAGAATATCCTAGGTAATGGGTACAGCAGTTTGGATATATGTTTAAAACGATTTTTCAGGTATTACAAAGTTACTTTGCATGTCCACTGCAACACTGTTATATTAAGGCCTAAGTGTATTTACAATATCCCACAGAAATTATAGCAGCAGCCAGGTGGCCTTCCAGGAAGAGAGCTGTAAACATGGTGTGCTCATGTGGCCAGCTACGTGGGTCCTCCCTAACTCAGTGCTCACCGAAACTACAACTGGGGCCTATACAAACGGCTCCAAATAATTAACCATTGCACATTCGAGCAAGTGATGCTTCGAGCAGTTATAAGTGGGCAGTTAGCTTCTTGTTGATGTTGACAAAACAAGCTGTGAAATGAAATAACAAAAAGCACAAGAGTATGCAACAGAGGGCCTTTGTAAGAGTGTTTGACTTGGAAATCACTTGTCTTCACGAGTGGTAGTCAATTATTACGTTCTGTACATGCGCACTACTTGTGTATACGTTCTTTCTCATGTGTCCTGAATAAATGCGTTGCAAGTTAGCACTAGTTTTGTTAAGGTGCTTTTAGGGGCGAAGCTCCTTGGTTCCCTGTCCGTCGGTGTGACAATCTATGGATATCGATACGCATATGGACATCCAGATTCATACGGATAATTATGTGGATATTCATGCTCAGGTGGGTATCGATACCATGTGGATATCGATATCCATATGGCTGTCTATGTGGACATCCATATGAAGATTCATATAAATATCGACACCATATGTGCATTGTGATTAGTAAACAATTTTGTATATCCTGTACACACGTATTGTCATGTCTTTGCATGACCGAGTGGGCAATGTATGGGATTAATGGTCTCCCGGAGCTTTGCCCCCTCGTCATAATTCACTTCGTGGATATATATGCTGTGATTTTTTTTCACTCTCCTTCGCTGTCATTAAGATGAATGAATGGAGGAATGCGAATATATTGAAGAGTCATCCTTTTTTTTGTCAGACACAACGCCCAAGAAAAGCATCGTAATTGAGGAGCAGCAGTTATGACATAACAGAAAAATGAATTAAAAGGGGCCATGACACCCAATTATCAATCATAATTCGTGTTTTGGGTTAATGCTTTTTTTTTTCATTCACAAAGCGTATTTAGTCGAGCAAATAATTTATAACTGGACATTTTTATAAACATGCAAGCTGCCTAATAGCTGGGCAAAGCTAGTGCACTAGTCAGCCGAGACGTAACAAGCAACTAGCTGTTGAGTGTCTGCATTTTGGCAACAATATTGCTCCTTGGTTAGCTGCACGTCAAAGATAAGTTAGCTTCCCTCAGCTTGGCACTGAAATTGAACAATTTGCAGCGGCTAAATCTTACGTAGAAGAACGCAGCTCCACTCTTTCTAGCATATGACATCATACCTGCCCTGGCAAAATGGCGGTCGCCGGCAGTGGATGGGATTTATAGCCAGCGACTTCTGGGACTTATTTTGCACTGAAATGGTCTTTTACAACCCCTTTTCTTATTTCTTATAGGCATAATAGACCCTCTACTACTCATTTTAATTTAAAACCACAAATTGTTGGGTGACCGTGACATGGTCCCTTTAAAGGGCCATCCAACAGGTTTGAAAATTTTGAGCTGACAAGTGCAATGCGCAGATGAGGTGTTCATGATCACGTCTACCAAAATTTGCAACGCTACGTGCCGCAGAAATGGGTCAAATTTCAAGATGAACACTGCTCCTCCTTCCTTTTGCGGGCGCGCACCCAGAGAATGAGGGCATGATGTGCACGTATGAATGGCCCTACGTACACGCCAATGCAGTGACGTTGGTCCGCTACGTAGACGGCTATGCTCTGACGTTGCCAACAGTGGCACATGACATGGCGGAGATAATTTAACACAACATGCATAGTTTATATATGTGTTGCTTGAAGAGATGAATAAATCTCTAAATAAATAATGAGACGCAGTAAGGGAATGTGAGCGTTCTATTTTTCTCATTTTTCCCCCGTGAATTGCAACCAGCTGCGGGGCTCATGTGCCGGCGTTTCGCATGCATTCGTGTCCCCGCGGTCAGCGCATCGAGCAGTCGACAGCCGTGAAACGCTCCTACCCGTTCGCGCACTCATTGTGCTCATCTATTCTACCGATGGAAAAGAAAAAACGCTGCTCACGTACACGGGGGTTGGGCTTGTTTGGGCACGTCATGCGCACGTGACCTCTTGGTCGGATGCCAGAGAGAGTAGGGAAGAGATTTGGCTTGCGAAGGCTACGCGGAGGAGCGGCAAGGGTTCTGAGCTCGCCTCCTCTCATCTTCGTTTCGCGCCGCTTCAAAAAGTAGTTTTCTCAGCTCGTAACGAACAGATTAAAAAAATTTTTGTGGCAAAATGTTCCTCATCGAACACCCAACAACTTCCACGGTCTAACTGAAATTCTGTATGGGGCCTGCTGAGTGGCCCTCTAAAGTGTTTAAGTGACAACAAGCTGCCAGTGGGAACCACACTACGAAGGTTGTGGTCCCACACTGGCAGCACATTGATCGACATAATTTCAAACAATTTAAACAAAATACAGATTATGTTCTGATTAATTACCGGGTAGTATTAACCGGAAGTGACTAAACGTCAGCACAACTGAAACACAAAGGCTGTTTTAGACCTGACATGTTTGTGAATAGTAGATAGCATGTTGACATTTGGCCTTGCGTTATTTCTACTTTCTAGCATGAACCATACAAGGTAAAGTGTGAGATCTGGTTTCCTGTGGTTTGCACCGTTATAGTCCTGAAGCATGTTATAAAAATGCACACGCTTTTACTTTAGCACAAACTCGCTTAGTGCAATCGACATGAATACAATGAACTTTGTTTCATCTTTCTGATATCTTGTCTGTCTCAGCAATGAAGTCATGAGATATGCGGGAATGCATGGAAATACTCGTACCATAAATAGTTTCGCTGCTGAATTCTTGACAAGCTCTGTGAAGGGTGAGCATGTTTTGGTTATGGATGACGAGGTATCCAAAAAATTTTGCTCCCCCATGGAAAATCATTTTTCCTAGTGCCGCAAGCGCACACTGACCACGATTCAGTCTAACTTTACCTTTTTTCCAAATAAGTATGACGAGAACTGGGCCTCAATGATCTAGACAGACAAACTTTAGAACAGGGAAGCGAGAGTTCAACAGCTGGTATTTACAAATACAGTAGAACTAAGTGCAGCAGTTATAATGACTAGTAGAATTAAATACAACTAAGTACAACCGTTACGATAACTAATTAAGGCTATACCCTCAGCCTGAATACTTGCAGCAATAGGTGTTCCACTTCACTCTCCCATTACATAACAGCACGCCGCCAACAGCGGTGGCGCTGAAGTGGAAGCTCGCCAATCACAGCTTCGAAGCTTGCTCAGCCTTTGGTGATGTTATGATTGGCCCTGTCACATTATTCAGTCCTTAGGTACACGTGCTTATCACCTAAAGACATACACATCAATGTAACTGGACATGCATTTCATGAGGATGACCTGACAATCTGGACAACAAGAAGCAGGGTATAAAAATGAATGAAGAAGCACTGCAGGAAGCCATATGTGCCGCAGAACACTTTAACTGAAGCAGACTGTCACACACGAAAAAAATTCAAACTTCTGGTACTACATGAGTGTATGAGAGAAAGCGTGAAGCAAGAAAGACTAGACCTCTAACTGCAGTGTGATAATACAAGTTCAGTGCCGTGTGTGTCATTCCCTTCCTGCATCCTGTGTCTAAGGGCTGTTTTGTATTTTTTATCATGGAAACCAACCAGCTGACCGAATCTGCTTGTCTTCTTATGATAGAAGTACCTCAAGTATGCTAAGCATTTTTGGTTTTGTCAAACAGAAGGGTTCAGCTGGGGGAGTGCAACTGCAAAAAGTATGAAAACACTGTAATGCCATTAACAGACCTCATTAAAGGAGGAGCCAGCGAACGCTACTAGATGGTGTGAGAACGCAAGAGAAAAACTAGAGCTGTTCAAGCAACTGAAGACCAGCAAACTGACAGGTTAACACACCAATGAACAGCTCATACTGGCAAACAACACAAGAAAACAGCAGTGGACCATGGTTCACTGGAATGAGAAATCTAGCCATGTAGGGCTAAAACAAAGGCCTGGTCAATTACTGAAGTTTATTTCTCCTCGTTCCATACAATGGCATCACTTTTACGGATATAACAGCTTCCTCAATGTGGCTGATGGTGAACCAGTAGGGCAGCTAGAAATTTTTTCAGTTGGGGTTTCAACCGTACTTTATTTTATGCATGTACATGTGTTTGTGTGTGCATGAAAACACGCAATATTGAAATTCTTTTTGAGGTGAGGGGAGGTTGAACCTCACTCCCCAGCTATGCGACTGTGGTGCACTGAGTGATCAGCACATTTATGAGTCGTTCCCATGGCTACAACACATTGGTCATGGCTTTCTAATGCCTAAAAATAGTGGTAAAATGCGATGTCATAGAGTTATTCAAGCTAACTGTAATAAAGTGTGACCGTAAAATGTGCACTCCAGAGCAATGATTGCAACACCAATAATTAAGAGATGTCCCTACTGCCCATCAAACTGCAAAAACTAGCAGCACTGTGACGATACTGTCAGTGCTATTTCTAACAATCTTTCTCAGCAGAGTTGCCGAGCTACTTTGATGGAGTATCAAAGGCACGCTGCTTTCATAGATATTTAAGAAGAAATACTTTTACAAGAGTACCTTACATAAAGACTGACTTTGTACAGTCAGAGAGGTAGCCAACCAACAGACCTTACTAATTAGAAAGTCAGCCCTATTTAAACATGGTAGTAGGATACAAACAAAGCATGTAGAAAACCCCTAGTGAAAGCGATAAGTCAACTTTACTGTTAGAAAGCACAAGGATGTCAGACTTGTTCTTGAGTTTGCAGGGAGAAATGCAAAGAACGGAAAGGTTCACCACTCGGATTAAATGTGTGGGTTTACCTGAGCTTTGTGCTTGTCTGCGCAATAGATAAGGTGTGCTCACATGTCCAATGACCCTTTTCCTAGAGGAAGGTTTCCAGCATTTCACTGAAGCGCTAGTCCTTTGCCTCCATCACGGTTGTTTGCCTGAATAAAAAATTCACGGTTGTACTTGTCGCAATTTGTTGACAAGTCCAAAATGTAACAGCATGACTTTGGACTAGCAAATTCCCCGATTGGTGAAGAAAGTTTAAGGCAGTTCCACAACTTTTTTGTTCCCTGGCTGCACTTCACTGCTTTTTGGTTTATGCCCTTGCCCAAAGTCATGCCACAACATTTTTAAATTAAACACAACCAGATATGCCCCAATCTTTTATGTTACTGGCGATCTTTGATTTTTACTGACAACTCTAAATTGCGGACGTGCACACTGACACAAATAGATAAACACCAGCACATAACAGAAATATAGAGAACCCTGAAACAAGAATTCATATGTGTGTGGCCCATCCCCCTACTGTGTCGACAAGCACATCATCCTATTTGGAAAGGATTCCTAGTGCACTCAAACCTCAATTGAACTAACACAAGTATACAGAAATATCAGTTCGAACTATGTAAATAAGAAACAGTCTCTGCAATAGATACAGTGATATAAAGAACATTTATAACAAATTTTTGAATGTAATTAACTTAATTTCTTGTAAGATGCAACTTTGTTATCATGAGGTTTGAGTGTATTACAGCGTATTGTTTAAGTGCAAGTTCTTACACATGCTGAGGATTCCTGAGAACCTTCTCGCAAGATATCAGCTCTTGTTGTACATTTATCCTGTTTAAGTGCTACTGTCTATTTTACTAAAGTACTAAACTAATGGTGACAAACAACTTAATCTTTATTGTAGTGATGTGATGTTTTACACTTGCATCGTTTTCCTTAATAACTTATTAATTTCTGATAAGTTATATAGTGTCTTGAGCGTATATTGCAACAGCACTTGATAGAATAAATACCTCCGAAAAAAAATGAAAAAAGTACCCATTGCAGTCTTTAACATCAACACCTCGAGCTGTATATCACAGCACTTAAAGCCATTCATTCTACTAATCTTAAGCAATAATTGCGCACATACCAAAAAAAAACACTCCTGGCACTTCTTTCTATCTATTTGGCAAAATTAGAGTTACGAAGGTCGAAAGACACTAGCACCTTTAAGAAGGTTAATTACACCTCATATACTTCTCATACAAGTGGGTCAGCAATATTTACACTGGTTTATCAATAAATTTAGCAAGGTATTTTAGAATGATGACTTGGACCAGCTCTTTAGGATTTAAATGAATATTAAGCCACAAGTTTAAGGGACCTTCACTATAAAAGCAATGCCTGGCAACTAAAGCATGTTGACCACACAGCAGCGAAATCGACACTTGGCAAGTGCAGACAGAATATTCACCATATGCTAAGCTGAAAGCTTATGGTGTACAACACTCACAAGCTGACACTTTTTTTACAATTGCTTATCAAAGAAACCCGATTTCATCCACTCCAAACATGTCAATCTCGCCATGACTCGAAGCATACCACCATGACCAGCTGTGAACACCCTCTGGGCACTATATTTTTGGAGAAAACAAAACAAAAACAAATTAAATTTAACTTTAAGGACTCTGCAACATTGTAACTCATTTTCTGTCGCTGTTGTCAAGTGAGGCAACATCACTTCAGAAATAGAATACTTCTTATGCTTTTAAAACTGTTTTTTGTTTGAAATTTTACCTATCAATAGCATGTCCTTATAACCAAACTTTCTCATATATGATTTCCTTCAATCATTCCCATTATAACCACTCTTTTTTGGGCCAAATCATTGCATCCCAGAATTTTGAAATGAAATAAATGAAGTAAAAATGATTACAACTCCTATTATTTTTGTTGACATATAAAAAATGAGTATTCAACCCAAGCAAAGAATGTTGAATTAATCATTGTTTAGTTAATAATGAAACCAAGTGAATAAGAATGACTTGACATCATGGCTCAGAGTGGTTTTAAGAGCATAGCTTTATAAGCTCTCATCGGGCCAGGCAGCGCAAACATAAATTATCATCATTATGAACAAGAACACGCTCGCTTCATCTTATTCAGCTTCTACTTTGCTCCTACAACACTTGCACCGATTTGTATTGCATTAGAATGAAAAAAGAGCGATGGGCCAGTTAGTTAAGTTATGTGACTGAAAATAAAGTGAAAAACTTCGAGGACGTCGGAGCTTAGACTAAAGTAGACTGCGACAGCGTAATTGGGGACTCGTGCACGTCGCCTTCTCAATTGCTAGCACAGCTTCGGTTCTCGGTGCATCCCTCAGCGGTGGAAACGACGACTGTATGTGCAACATTGGCCCTTTAAAGCTACCCTAGAATGCCTACTGCAAGTGCAGTTGTTAAGTGCTCATTACGCCATAACCATTCCTTTTGCAAATAAGCGAATGGCCCACTACGTGTAAGACAACAGCTAAACCCACACAGCTGCTTCCTTTGCTGATGTTTTTACAGCTAATGATGATTGAACATGTCTGAGAGCTTTTTAATGGGTGGGCCCTTGACTCACTCATCGCACAATTCACACATTTTAATGCCTGGCGTGATTCTGCACTTCTGCAGCACTATATCACATGTGTTGAGGAGACTCCTTCCAGTGCATGACATTTATAGAGTGTTTTTTTGAAGCAGTTTCAAGTAATTGCATGGCACTGTGGTAGGACACCTACTTGCCATGCAGACGATGTGGTTTTGATTTTCACTCAAACCGAAAAATTCTCATGACTTTACTTGCATCTTTCTGGCTTTTGTGGCTACGGTCAAGATGATGACGTTTCACTGACAACAAACAATGCCGACACCAAAGCAAACCCTGACACTGAGGTCGACACCAGAATTTCCGCGAAATGTGCTTTTTAATTCTATCGCGTTAAAACCAGTCACTGTATTGAGGTCACGTAACACCACGTAAAAATTAACTACATGACCGAAAATACTGTAACATCTCGTAAAAACCAGTCACGTGACGAAAAATACAGCAAGAACACTTACGTAATTGATTGTCACATAACTAGACATGTGACTGAAATCGCGCAACATCGTGCGACTAAGTGTGCAGCTGAAAATCAGGTGCCCCTACAAAACATCTCACACTAGCTAGTCACATGACATGTATTCACCGAAAACTATGTAACCGCTAGTCACATTAGTAGAATCAGATTATTTCGTAACAGGTATATATATCATTTGGCATGTGTAACCGTACTTAGCATTTGTAACAATAACTTCCCGCATCTAGCAAAAGATTTGCCTTGCTAACAAAACTTAGTTAAGCCGAAGATTAACTCTGCTGATGGTTCCAGCCTTGTGCCACGAGTGCAAGCTACACATTAATTTTTTTTTTTTTTCAGCAAACTGGCTTAGAACCGCCAAGCCAGATTTTCACCACATGTGTAGTTACCCAACAAAAGCGTGTCAGCCCGTAAACACTAGCCGCGAAGCATAAAAGAAAACTTCCCTCCACATAAAGCACCTAACAAGGCTACACACTATGAAAAAAAAATCTTTGTGGCCATATTCATACAGGTGAAAAGATTGTAGGTTGTCACCTGTGCAATAGAAACTGGCTCACAGCTGCGGTAAAGTACTAGGTTTGTGTGCCTTTTGAGTAACTAGATGCTGAGTGAGGAACCGAATATAAATGCATTTTTTTCACATCATATACCCTCTCAGTTTCAGCAACAAAATTTATTACGGAACTGTAAATGGCCGACTAAACTGAAACTTCTAACATTGTACAGAAGTATTCATACATGGAAATTAAAACTTTTTCTGAAAGCTGAAAAAGAATTACGAAAAAGCTGAGATGACACATCTTTAAAATAGCCTCAATATTGCAAGACATAAACACAAAATATAAAAGAAGCAAACACACTATATCCAGTTATTTGGAGGGTAACTGCATGTGTCACACAATTATATATGTCTAGAAACATTATGTGAAAGCATTAAAACACTATGTATTGCTGCACATGTTATAAATACTTCGTGTATGAGCAATAGCCCAACATGAAGTGCTGCAGTGGAGATGAAACTAGCAACAACAGAAAAAAATACATTGTACAAATAAAGTAGAGCTTAACTTTAATTGTTGGCTGTTTTAATTAACTTACTAGCAGTAAAGCAAGAAAATAATAAAGCACTTTTCTTTTTACATTTTACAATAAGCTTACCTGTGCTAACAAATATATACATAAAACAGTCAACATAAACGAGAAATAATAAAGGGAAATTATACATTTAGAATGACAAAAGGGCAGTCACAGATATAGATGTGCTGTGCTAGGCCATAAGCTGTCATGAAGACATAAAGTACAAAAAAAAAACATTAACAAGTTACGACCTTTCTAGCTTGAACGATCTCAATGAATTATCTAAAGGTCACGGTCGTCTAACAGTATGCATTTTATGCAGTTGCTAGCAGATATCAGCGCCCTAAAGCACCTGCAACAAGTGCTCGGCGAAGCGCAGAATCAATGCAGCACGACTGCTGCTCGCCAAAACAAGCCAGGGAATGTCATCAATCACTTTCCAAACCCTGCAACCAGAAGTACAGTGTTATACAAACAAGCATGTCACTTTAGCTCGATACATTGTACCTCTGCAGCCATCATTAAAGGCCACCAAGAAAAGTTTAAAGAGCGATATATGAACGCCGAAGCGATATTTCAAAGGAACTTCACCATTAATACAACTGACGTTGCCGGCGGTAGGTGCAGTACGATGAGCTTTGGAAGGAAATGCGAAAATCAGTACGCATAAACGACACATCGGTACGCAGCCGTATTTCACCGTGAAAACAGCGCAACTAGAGCTGTGAATGAGCAATCAGAATTTCTGTTTTTAAATGAAAAGCGGCGGTGTCGTACAGTTATTCAACACCTCAGACTTGGCGTAACCGCAAACCGACCAAACTGAGCAAAATGTTACGCCGAAGAGCGAACACAATCAATTTGATAAGAATACGCATGTCTACTGCAGCTAGACAGGAATAGACGGAACGTCTAGGACCATGAAGAAAGGCATTACGTCGATTACATAACATGCACATTGGTGTAGTTCGAAGTCAACACGCGACACACGACGATAGCTATAGCGCGAGAACAAAACGACGACATAGAGATAAGAAAGAGACGAGGGACACAAGCTAGTGTCCCTTCGTCTCATTATTGTCTTAGTGTCGTCGTTTTGTTCTCGCGCTATAACTATCGCCGTGCCATCACAACTAGCCCAAGCCGCCAGAATTCTAAGCGACACACGAACCGAGAGACCACACAACGACGTGCACAGAACAAACAAACCTCCGAGTTCACCGACTTTTGTGTACCGGCATGAAGAAGTCAAATTCCATTCGCCTTTGCAGCGTCGCAATTCATAATTACTCCCATAAACATTCGTGAAGATTCAACACGCCGGAACGTGAGTTTCGTACACGCCAACAGCAGTTTCGATTTGGATTTCTCCGAGGGAAGCCGAGTCGAGCTGTGCTCGTCTGGCAACGGCAGCGGTTGTTTACATCTTTCCCGATTGCCCCTACGCGGTCGCCTTTCCCCCCCTCCCACTCGTGATACTTGGACTCAACCTCTCTCTCGGGCCAATCAACGACTCCTGTTATTTGGTCTAAAGTGCTATGTACGGAAATGATTGATCAAGTGGCATGAATGTGGTGCTGGTCGAGCGTTTTCGTTTCTCAAAGTGGTAAAGAGATTGTTCACCCTTCCCCCACTCCTCGCTACAGACGCAGCTAGCTGCCCGCTTTGACCAAGGTGTATACACACACGGGCAAGCAGCGGTCCAAGAAAGAAGTCGCCGACGATCTCGGAATATGCTACAACGCCGCGTCATTGAAGCTGCCACACGGCCGGATTGTCTACCCGTCATGAGCTACGTGTGGTGCTGTGTTTTGTGTGATCGTGCTTGACGTCGCTAAACGCGTCGTTTCATATATTTTTTTTTCCGCTCCGGGTTCTCCTTGTTTTCCTCCGAAGCTTGCATCCATGTGGGCCGCCGTGATCTTGTTTGGGTGCCCCGGTCCGTGCCACCGTGCCTCACGATCGGATTGCTGAGTTTCATCGCGGCAAACAGGTGAGTCGGGCTGTGTATACCCACCCCGCATCTGCAGCTTATAAAGATTTGCAACCCGGACAACAGCATTGCGACGCCGATCGGCGTTCGCGACGCGAGGGTTAGCGGCTCGTTCGGTCGGTTTCTCTTCCAAAAATAACAAAAAGCAGCCAAACATTCGCGACTACGTATTCGTAGCCTTAGGCGTTTGGGTCACCAATGTGCTTGTTTTCGGACGTTGTCGCCATAGACGACAAGTGTTGCCGCTGGTGAAACCGACCGAGGTAATCGGTGCTTGAAGTAGCGGCTGCCCTCCGGCTGCCTGGGTTGTTTGCGATCGCATCGCAGAAACTTGCCATGCGCACGAGGCGGCGCTGCTAGTTATCTTTTTTTGTTGTTACTTGTCTTATTTGTGTTGTTTTCGTGTCCACGCTTTTGGCCGTACTGCGTAGCCGTAGCTCAGAATCCAGAGAACCATAAGAGTTAGGCGAAAAAGAGAAGGCAGATGACGTTTGGTGACGTCGCTAAAATGGAAATCGTCATGCGGCGTCACAGCATTTGGACGCTGCCGCCATATTTACGCGCAATACAACGTCACCGTAAATGACCGTGCCGCCATATTAAAACCCACAATTTCTAACTTTGCGGAACCAGCCGTAGCGGTGTCTTTACACTGCATTGGGTTGTCTAGATCTAAAGCCGAAGAACGTTCTGGAAGCAGTGCGGCATTGGTGTTTGCTTGAACAATGACCTAGGGTCACCGCACTGTTTTGATAGGAGTCGGCGTGCAGTGTGTAGTACTCGTTTGACGCTACTTCACGGAGTTTTGTTACTTTGATGTTTGAGTCTGCCGGTCGGAAGCGATAAAGAGAGACTTTCTTGGCAGACGTCTCGTGGCAAGTTTTGATTAACTGTGCCACGCACGCTGTCGGCGTTCTTCGTACGACGACCGTACCGTTGCTAAGCCGCGTTGCTACGTTGTGGTGCCGCGCATGTGACGTCATCGCAGTGTGTTTAGTGTGGGCGGGCCTACGTGTATTGAGTTCGAAATCATGTGGTTCACAGTTAGCATGAAACGGCCGGAAATGGAACATGGAAGCTTGCGATGAAAAGCACAAAACCCCTGCTGGCAAACGAATTATGGTACCCCCCCCCCCCTCCTCGTCTAGAAACTTGCGCATCGTGATTCTAACTCATCGTGAAAACGTTGAGGTCATGATGTGAGTGACCGGCGCGCGTCTGCTGCATTTGGCTCCGGGCACACAGTTGTGGACGGCTTATTGTAGTCCGTACTTGTGAATTATCACAGTTCTGCTTTAGTTGTGCATGAAGCTTGATCTGCTTTTCTTTCCTGCTTTGTACTTTAAATCGCTGAAAAAGCTCCTTCTCGCATTTTCAACACTAACTGCCTGTAACAGATGAAAATGGTCTCACTTCGGCTTCCCATGGTTTATAATCACACAGAACACCGTGTTGCAGTGATCCGGGAAATACGAGGGTGGCAAAAAAATGACAAAATTGCTGCTGAACCCGTAGTAGCTGCGGCAGACACCGGAGGTATAAATTGAGAGGCTTTGGGAGTAAACGTAGTATTGTGAAGATAAGTTGTGGTTTATTAATTACCACGGGTACGAAGACGTAGCCGCCCGGTGGTGACTGAGGTGCCTTAAAAACAACATTCCACCTCTAATAGGGCACACGCCCAAGTCGCGGTAGCCCTTGTCATCCTAGAAGCACGCTTCGCCTTTTCGATGACGGTGTTGTTCAGGTCATGTGTCGAGCGATGTTGTGTTCCCCTATTGAGGCCGATGAGTGCATTTTGTTCGCCGCTATCTGTGCTTAGGTCGAAAGGAACGGAGGGAGGTTGCGCTCGGGGACGGGCTGGGGAGGAATTGGAGCGTCATTGTCGGTATCTCGTCGCCGTTCGAGGACGGCCTTTTCGAAATCCTCGGGGAAGCTGAAAGGCGCGTTTTATTTCTCGTTTCTCTCTCTTTTTTTCTCCTTTCCGTTTCTTGTGTGTGCCGGTGGCGTCAACCAACGCGGTGCGGGAGGAAATAAAGAAGACGGGAGGCCTGCGGGGCAGCCGCGGCGCGTCTCTTGCTTTTTTTCCTGGGAACATTGGGACGTCCAAGGTGCCTGGCTCGCTTTCTTGCCGCTTGTTTCTTGTGTACTACCATTGTTGGGAAGCCCGAAGCGAGCGGATTTTTTTTTTCTCCCTCGCTCTCTCTGTCGTTGGTTCTTGCTTGGCGGGGGAAAGCAGCCGATGAGGGAGGGGAGCCGTGCGAGCCGGCGGAGAGCTCTGTCGGCGACGTACGACGCTGGCGCCAAGCACAACAGCAGCAAGCAGCACCGCGTGTGTTTCTCAGCAGCCGTCTCTGTTTTGTGTGCCGCCGCTACGGCGCGCACTCATCCCGCCTTTGGAGGGGGGAGGGTGGCTAGGCCTAAAAGCGCGAGCCAGGCGGCTCTATGCGCTGCGTTTCTCGTTTTCTTCTTTTATTTGCCCGCTTATTTTGCGGGGTGGGGAGAATGGAGGGTGGTGGTGGTGGTGGGACTACGCTCTCCTCGGCCGCGTCTTTCTTTGTCGGGGGCATACTAGTACGGTTACCACCGGTTCGTCGTCCTTCTGCCGGGAAAGTCCCCGGCGGCTTCGTTCGTTCGCGGCTGCCACCGCGACCCCGCGCTCCCCCCTCCCAAACTCCCCCGTCTGTCCGTTCGGCAGGTTTCTTTGTTTCTTCTGCTCGCTTCGCGGGGCACGCACGGAAGCTGACGCAGACGTTGCTTATGCCGCCGCGTGGAGCTGTTGGGGTCCTTGTTTGTGCAGAAAGCGCCTCCGCCGGGGTTGTTTACGTCTCGAGCGCTGTGGACGGTCTCGACAAATCGGATACTTCCCCGCCATCGCCACCACCTCCTCCTCTATCGACTCACTCACTCTCTGGTCCCTGCGTTAAACGTGTTTGCTCCGTATCGATTGTTTGACTGTTTTTCCGTCTCCCTCTCTCTCTCTCTCTCTCTCTCTCTCTGTTTTTTTCTCGCTTATTCGGAGTGCGCGGCAGTGTCTGTGCAGGGACGAATTATCGATGCATCACTTTGAATTTTTGCCAACCATGGCCATGGGGTTGGGCGAAGGTAAAATAAACTTTAATTTGGTACTGGAGAACCCCAATCAGACACCCCCTCGAAGGCGGTCCGTCGCATTGTTCGAAGTTTTCGAGCAGGGAAGCGAATGCCGCTTGTATATATCGTTATCAGTACCTAACTGAAACACTTTGAGGTGGCATGAATAATGATTACGCTGGGCAATGATGGTAGGACTTCGTGAAATAGGATTTGCTTCCTCTTGTCAGTTATTTGTGGTGTTTAATTGATGTTTTCATAGCGCCCAGTCGCAGTTTCCGTTTCAGAGAGAGGCTGGGCAAACTTTTTTTTTTTTGGTAGGCACAGCTAGCTTAATGACCACCCGAATCAGTAACACGCTGCAACGCTACCACGTGATTGCCGCGTTGACAACTACGGTGGCGAGCGCGCAAGGAGCATGGCAGCCCATCGTAGTAGAGTTTTACGTCCCAAAAACACGGCATGATTGTGAGAGGCGTCGTAGCAAATGTCTACCATCTGGGCCTCTTCAAAGTGCTCACAAATTTAGGTACACGAACCTCGAGCATTTAGCCTCAGTGGAAATGCGGTTGCTGCGGCTAAGATTCCATCCTACGGCCTTCGTGCCAGCAATGGACCACCGTGGCGGGTTACTCAAAAAGTGTTACGGAGGAGCTTGTTGGTTGTTTACGTTACAAGCAAGTTGATGTCTATGTCTCGAGGTGCTCCAATATTGCATGCCCGGCGGGACGCTTTTAAAATTGATTTTAAGTGTGCTTCAGGCCGCGTTTGCAGTTTATACTTTGTAGATAATGTGTATAGTGGGTCCACGAAAATCATCTCACAACTAATCTCGACTCGGAAATTATGTGTCAGTGCTTCAGAATCGCTGTTCATTGAGATAGCCACGTGTGCGGTGGGCCTTGGCAGAGATTAAAAAAAAGGTGGTTGCTTTAACCAGGTCAGTTGATTGCCTCCAGTTAAGAGAGAGACAACCTGCTGTTGTCGAATTCTGCTGCTGTAAAAATGAAACCGCCCAATGACTCTACTTGCGACAGGTTATACTTATTGATTGGTCTAGCTGTGCGGCCGCATTGTCAGAACCCGCGTTGGAGGGTGCGCTTTATGGCGACGCGCTTGTAAAGTAGACACATTGACGACCTACCGCAGATCGATACGGGCCGCGTTATATATAGCTCGGTTGGGCTTCCGGGTTGTTATTGCTGTCGCGTCCGTCTTCCAGCCGCACTCTTTTAAAAGTACCAAAAAAACTATGCATATTTAATTACACGAACGCATAATGTCATGTCGTCGCGTCGGGAACTCGTTAGTTCTGGGTAGTCGTGCTTGAGAAAGAGGCAAAAAAAAAAAAAGAAACAGTGACTACCGTGAGGCAATCTATCGCCAATGTGCTCACTCAGTGGTTTTTGTCGGTGTACTCCTGGCGGCCAAGTTGGGCGGCAGATTGGAAGGATTCATCATTGTAAGCGTTGCGCAAATAACGCAACGACGATTCGCAAGCACACAACTACCGTTACGAGCTGCACTTGTGTTCTGGTTAGTCTGTGCATCACCTATAATTCATATACGCGATGATGTAGAGGAAAGAAAAACGAGAAAGGGATAGAAGGAAAAAGAGAAAAGGGAGGCCTCGCCCTGTCCGAACATCAGAAGCTTTGCGTGTGCATATTTGGCGAAATGTTTTTCTTTCTCATTGCACAATGCTCCCTTATATTTGCCCCCCCCCCCCCGCTCCCGTTTTTGAACGCGTTTCTTTCATCCTTTCACATCTGTCTCTCTACCTTACTTTCTTTTCATCACTCTCACTTCAATCGCCGCAACCGCCCCCCCTCTTTCGCCGAGTGTATCGGTTGAGGTGTTCTCACATGAAAGACAGTGATAGTGCACCCGACTCTACAATTTCTTAC